TCCCTGGAGTCAAGGACTCTGAAGCTTCGTCTGACATTCTTTGGGCATGTTGCAAGGAGGGACTGGTCCTTGGAGAGGGACATCATGTTTGGGAGGGTGGAGGGACGGTGCAGGAGAGGAAGACCCTCTATGAAATGGATCGATTCTGTGAGTGGAGTGGTGGGAATGAATGTGTTTGAGACAGCGAGGTTGGCACAGGCTAGAATGGCATTTAGAGCTCTTGTGCATAGGGTTACTATGAATCGGAAGGGACTGGATGGCACATAACAACAACAACCACCTCTGAGATTGCAGTGCAGCATCTTGCCACTAGGCCACCAGAGCTCCCTGAATAAAGTGTTTCTTGTACCAGATTTCTTTCTCTGGAACTTGTGTCCACGTGGAAGCCCCTGTTCTTGCTTTTGGGCCTGCTTCCTGCAATCATAGGGGATGAAGTCAATATTTTCCCAGACCAGATAGCTTATATTCTAGAGGTGGAACTCTGTATTTTTTTCTTTGTAGCAAATATCACCCAGGGCACTAACATCCCCCACCTCTGCTTTGTTCAGCACATATTCTAGGGTCATGAAGAGTCCTGATGGCCAAAAGGGTAAAAGCACTAGATTGTTAACCAAAAGTTCAGCGTTTCAAACCCACCAGGCGTTCCCCAGGAGAAAGATGTGACAATCTGCTTCCCTAGATTACAGCCTCAGGAACCCACGTGTCCCGTAGGGTCACTAGAATCAGAGTCCACGCAGCGGCAGGAGGCTCCAGGTCCTCCTTCTCGGGGACCTTGCTGGAGTTACCCTTGCTGCCGTGCAGTTGGTTCTGACTCACAGTGGCGCTGTGTGTGACAGTGAACACTGCTTGGTCCTGCTCCTTCCCACATCTGCTGCGGTGCGTGAGCCCTTGTTGGCACTGACTGTGTTACTCCATCTCCCTGAGGGTCCTGGGCTCAGCTTTTCTTTCAGAGTTTGTTCTCTGAACCCAGATCCTCCTCAATTCTGTCTTCTCCCAGCATTCCTGATGGAGCAACAGAGGGTCCCTCCAGGCTTCTAGGGCAGCCGGAAAAGGATCCAGCCCCCTTCCCTCTCTCCCAGGTAAGCTTTTGTATGCATGGGCAACACTACTTTCCTGTAAGTCCACGTTTTCTGCTTCTTTTCATTGTTAACAGCTGCCAGCTTGTCTGCTGACAGACTGAGAAGTGTGCAAGGGCCACATTTGAAGCTACAAGAAAGGAAATGATTTTTTTTTCCTTGACGTCCTAATCCCTCCCTTAACAAATTGCTGTTCTGTTCTCATTGTGTTTGCTTTACAGAACTCAGTTGGAAAGTTTGTCCCCCAGTTTGCAAAACCCCAGAAAACTGTGACAAGAAAAACAAAGAAAAAGGAAGAAGACAATGAGAGTGGGACCTTCAACCTGGTAAGGTCCTCCGATGAGCCACGCTGAGCCAGGCAGAGCACCGCCTCTGGTGCAGCCGCGGGAGCCGCTGTGACTCTCCTGTTCGCTGAGGTTAACCTTGTTTTCTTGGGCATCAGACCTATGTTCTCAGTCCCCTCTCCTTATTTTCAAGGCATCCACTGCAGTTGTCTGTGGAGGTGCCAGGCTGGGAGCTCAAAGGCCTGTTCACGGTGTTCAGGACAGTTGTGCCCACACCACACGGGTCCCAGCCAGAGCCTTTTCCCCAGAGGGCATGGACATAGGAGCACTGAGAAAGACAGCCGTTTTCTACCCCTTTTCCTTGGAGGGGCTTTCGTGTGATTTGAGGGGCTTACAATATGCTCTGAAGTTGAAGGTGTACACTGGGGCCTGTTAAATGTTCACAGCAGCTGTATTTCTAATGTCCCCCAAACTGGAAACACCACCGATGTCCTTCAGCAGTGACGATTTCAGCCACACTACAGAGCAGTTGAAAGGGAGAATTAGAGATGTGCATGACGAGACGAGTCTCCAGGACTTTGTGTTGAGTGGAAAGAGCCAAGGGTCACCTGCTGTCTGATTCCATTTGAAATGATGACGATAGAGACTAGACTCGGGCTGTTGATGGGATTGCATGTGAGGAGGGAGTATGCTATGAAAGAGCGGCAGGAGGGGTCCTGACGTGTTAGAACTCTTCAAGGTCTTGACTGGGAGATCCAGAAAAAGACTATGTGAGTGATTGGATGGTGTAGAACTTAACAAATACAGAGGGATCCCTGGTAGCCCAGTCTGCAGGGAGTTGTGATAGTAACTAAGCCAGAGGCGGGCTGCGTGCATCTCTCCAGCAGCTCGAATCCACCAGCAGCCCTTCAGGAGAAAGATGGGCAGCCTCCTCCCATGTGATTTGTTTTTAGCCTCAGAAAACCTGCTGGAGCGTCAGCTATGAGTTACTTCCAGCTTGATGGTAATGAGAGTTTTTAACACAGACACACACCACATGAGTACAAGTCAAATGGGAAGTCAGAATGAGTTGCTTAAAGTACAGCAAGGCCAATATTATGTTATCAGTGTTATGATATTAACTGTTATGGAGCCAGGCCTGGAGTTACCGACAGAAGCATGACTTACGCATATCATCCACAGGCGGTAGGTGGAATAACACTTGATTCACAGAGAGAAGCAGTCCAGCTAGGACGGTGGCAGTCGTGGGCTTCTTTCTGCTGCAGCCAGCAGGTCTTCCCACAGGTCACAGTGCAGGGCTGTCGGTCTGCATGCACCTCACTTGTGCAGTATTTGAAAGACTCCATCATCTCTCCACTGGGCACAGAAACAGTATGAGAGTTGGCCAGGAGCCTGTGACAGGCAGAGCATTGACTGTGCACCCAGGATAGGGAGGGGGTGCCCTGTGAGGAGTTTCGAGAGAGACACCATTCCCCAGGGGTCTCTCTGAACCCAAGGCTTGATTAGGCAGCCGGGTGAGAAGTGGTGGGAGCTCAGCAGACCATCCTCCCAGCAACTACAGGGATGTTTCTCCTGAGGGATAACGTGTCAAGCCTACACCAACTTCTCTGTTACTTCTTACTTACAGCTGCATGCGACTCAGCAATTATCTCAAAAAGTTTTGTGTTTAGTTTTATAAAGTGGTAGTGTGAGAGAACTATTAACATGAACTGTAACACCACTAATTAGAATAGTCAACCTTACCGCTCAAAACTGGCAGCATTTGCCCTCGGTAAAGCTTAGAAAGGCAGAAGCAGGGAGGAAGTGGGAAAGTAGGCTGTTGCATTGTGAGAATTCAGTCAGTGTCACAGAACAAATGGATGAACTGTTGAGTGCAAAACCAGTTTATAAACTTTCACCCCAGTCACAATGTTACAGAGGAAGGGAGTGTGGGTGGTTGATTGAAGATGTATGTGACTCAGCAAGCTGGTTGCCCGTTTCACTGAACTGAGGGACCAGGCCGTGTCCTGTGCCCTTCAGTGGTCCAGAGTCTGCAGTCCACACCCTCCCCCAGCACCATCCCTGCTCTGGTAACTATAAGGTGGGCCCAGTGCCCGTCAGACCCCAGTCCCTCCTTGGTGAAGCTCTTTCTTTGCAGCTGATGTATCACAGTTGTGGGAGCTGTGGAGAGTGCATAGTTGGATTTTTTCATGCAGGAGAGCTTGAGTACCAGCTGTGCCACTCTCCAGCCCTCAGTGTACCTTGTGGTGCAGAGATAACGACAGAAATGCCCTCAGGAAGTTGTGCCAGGACTTAGCGAGGTGCTGTCTGAAGAAGTCAGCACAGCGCCCAGCACACAGTACTGCCCAGTGTTAACTGTGCACTTTTTATTCTTTATATTTGCTTGTTTAAAAACTTCTGTTATGCTAAAGCTTTAACATTTCCCATTTTAACCATTTCTTTTGGTGTACCATTCTGTGGTGTGAATTATATTCACAGTGTTATGCAACCGTTTCAGAACTCTGTCATCACTCAAAGACACCTACTCCCATTAGCAGTCCCTCTGTGTACCTCACTGTCCCCAGCCCCTGGCTGTGTGAGCCTGCCTCATGGTCCGGCTGGAGCAGGTAGATGGAATCCTGTAACATGTGACCTTTCGAATCTGATGTCTTTCCCTCAGTGGGATGTTTTTGAGGATCCTCGTCAGAGCACATACTGGAGCTTTATTCCTTTGTCGTGCTTGTAATCTGCGGCTGCATCTTGTCGCTCACTGGGCTGTCCCTTCTTCTGCTGGTGGACACTTGGCTTGTCCCACAGTTTGATTCTTGTGAGCACATGTACAGAAGTCTGACAGTCCCCCTGCTGCATCTTGATTGCTGATACTGCTGCAGACCTGGGCGGTTTACATACACACACGAGTCCACAGCTCAGACTTTGAAGAGTCATTCCAGCAACACTTCCTGTGTGCCTTCTCAGTGCCAGGCACAAAGTCCAGTGCTGAGGAGATGGGATAGTGGACACATTGAAGGTGCCCCCCATAGAGAGAACTTATTATTAGGGATGCCTTCTTTATTTAGTTTTTAATTTATCTTGACATAATCACAAACTCACAGGAAACTGCCAAAATGGCACATGGTGGTCCCCTTTAACTTCCTCCAGCCTCCCTCACTGGTCACATCTTATTACGTAGCTGAGGCCCCTGCTCAAAACCAGGAAACTGCCGAGGTGTGACCAGAGCCTGAGAGCTGCCTGGCTGGACAGGGGGCTGGTGGGATGGGGCGCCTGGCTGGACAGGAGCTGGTGGGACGGGGCGCCTGGCTGGACAGGGGGCTGGTGGGATGGGGCTCCTGGCTCCCAGCAGCCTCCGGCCCTCAGCACAAACTCACCTGGTGACTCAGTGCAGAGTGTGGGTGGAGCGTGGGCATCCACAGACTGAGACTTGAGACAAGAACAGTAAGGACTAGAACAATCTTCCTAAATGAAGGGTGGATTCATGAGGGCCCTAGCCTAAGACTTTTTCTCTCCACAGGAATTGCTGCAGGAGCCCAGTGCCCCTGAGGCAGGAAGCCAGCCACTTCGGGGATCCCTGGGGCTAGCTCTCTTGGAAAACCAGGCAAAAGCTGCTGTTGTCCACCCTGAACAGTGCAGCCAGCTCCCCCTAGTACCAGTGCCGTGCAGTGGGACCTCAGTGCACCTGACATCCAGCGATAACTCCCCAAGCAGAGGGACTGTGCCTTCTACTCCAGAGAGGGCCAGCCAGGAGCAGCTGTCAGAATCAGGGACCTGTGTTCTGAATAGTGGAAACAGTGCCTTAGAATCCAGCCTCCTAGTGGAATCTCAGAGAAACAGCAGACCTGGCACAGAGCAAGGTCTGGCAGAAGGGGGTCCTGGGCAGAATGGGCCTCTAAGCAGTGAGTGTGAGGATAAGGAGCTACACAGGGGAGGCCCCCCGGAGGAAGGAGAAGGTGACCCAAGTACCCCAGGCTCTGGTCCTGCCCCTACCCCTGCTCCAGAACTGAGCCCTGTGTCTCTGTTCCCAGAGCCTAGGTCTGCCACCCAGGGGTGCCCAAATCAACCACAGGTGCCCATTCCCAATGAGCCTGTTGTCGTCATTGCAGACAGGTGCACAGGTCCCACAGCGCCACCAGTAAGGGATCCAGAAGTGGCCAAGTTGGACAGACAAGGCCCAGATGGAAGTGGGGCTCTGCCTCATTCCTCAGAGGCTGCTGGGGGCCACATCGAGGCAGGACTGGAAGCTGAACCCCGCAGCCACACCCCAGAGCTTCTTGCCACCTCCCCAGCTCCTCATCATGAAAACCAGGAGCCTACAGTGGGTGCTGGCAACTCCAGCCCCCTCGCCCCAGAAGTAAGAATAGGTGTAGATCTGAAGCCATTGCCAGACCTCACCCAGGAGGGGCCAGAGTACACATGTGCACTGCTTTCTGTGGAGCCTGTGGGTGGAAAAGCAGCGGAGCCAGGCATCGAGAGCCTGCGGGACCCTGAGCCTCCGGGGCATGGCCAGTCCCTCCAAGCCGCTAGCCTGCCTGACCACAGAGAAGTAGACGGTCTGTCCCAGGAGCCTGGGGCCCACACTGCTCCTAGCCCAGCACACCAGGCCATCTGGGGGTGTTCCTCACCCATAGACCTCGACTTCCTGCCTGACAGCCAAATACAGAATGCCCTGGATGCTCCTGACTTGGAAGCTCCCCCTGAGCAGGTAAGAGCTTCCCCGAGTCCAGCCTGACTCCCAGCACGGGCCAGACGGTCAGGAATCCCCTCCCAAATTACTCATGGTAGAGAGAGTGGGGCAGTGTGTTCAGGGTCCCACCTACACCACACATTCCTTAAGGCGTCACAACTTGAGTAAGGACTAAGTGATTTTCTGGAAAGGTCAGACCTGCCTTTGATGGGCCCATCTTGGAAGAGAAGTTATTCTCTGAGCCCCAGATGGTACTCTCTTGGGCTGACCGTCCACCCTTTAGCATTTCTCCCTGGCCAGCCCCTAAATGGACCTGGGTAAGGATGTCATTCCAAACAGCTAGAACATGTACTCATTTAGTGAGCTTTGGTGACATAGACCATAATAAGTGTGCTGCAGACCTGAGGACCACACGTGGCCAGCAAGTCACGTCCACCAGTCCCTCCACAGTAGAAGGATGGGCGGTCTCCTCTGATATTTACAGCTTCGGAAACCCAGTAAAGAGGTCTGTGCATTGAAATCACTTCCTTGATAGTGAGTTCATGATTAGTTTACTGAGGGTTCTCATATGAGTCTACTAACTAACTACTTTAAAATAGACGAATAAAAGAGAACATAATTACAAATAGCAGTGAAAATCCTAACAGTTCTACTCTGTATACATGGTGTTGCTGTAACATAGAAGTCACTGGCAGTTGAGGGAGGAGTGTGCACACACATATATTTTATTTCACCACTGAGATTTAAGGCTCTGTTCCTCTGGGACCTACCTGCCTGGCAGGGCAGTGGGCAAATTGCCCAGGTGTTTCCTTTTGCAGCTTCTGAGTCAGTGCCAGCCGTCTCTGCACACCTGTCAGGACAGGTGTCCACCTTGTTTCAGAAAGTGCAGCATCCCTGGTGGTTAGAGCATCTGAGCCCACCTGAGCTTAGCAGCCTCATCCAAGGACATAGACAGTGCTCTTGCCACACATTGGGTGCAGCCGGGAGACTGAAGGGGTCGGATACCTGCTCCAGGTGACACAGCCGTGAGCAGAGAATGCTGGGCCCACTTCCAACTCACCTAGTTCAGAAGCTGCACCTTAACCACACTGCCCTGGAACATGGAGCTCTTTCTCTTTTTACACATCAGCCTGGTTCTGTGGAGACGTTAAAAAAAAATCTAGTCGTTCAGCACCTGTTTATGGAGTGCCTGTTCTGTGCAGAGAGCAAATCAGACTTGAGGTTATGGACCCCACCTGCCTCTCCAAGGGAGAACATTTTGTTCTGTGTGATTCCGTGCTTAATGAACTCTTATTTTTCAAAGAACAGAGTCCTGAGCGGTACAAAAATTGGCTGCTAACTGAAAAGCTGGAAGTTGAAGTCAATTCAGAGGAGTCTAGGAAGAAAGGGCCTGGTGATCTGTTTCCAAAAAATGCAGCCGTCTAAATGCCGTGAAGCTTCAACAGCAGACAGTTATGTCGCCACAGAACACAACACAGCTGAGGCCGTAGTCCCATTTCCGTCTCCCTGCTCACGTTTCAGAAAAATCAAGAAAACTGGTCTGCAGGGCTCAGGTGTGGGCCAGCAGGGGGCTCTGGCCAGGCCACCACCATTTGGGTGTGCGTTTGTTTTGACACTGGGCGTTCCTGAGCAAGTCAGGGCGGCTCAGTCACTGAGCAGGTTCCCATGGGAAGACTGGGCCATGCCCAGTTTCCCCATGTGCGGATAGGAGTCCTTGGGAGCAGCTCGTGTTAAGAGCGCAGTGACTGCCATCTTCCTGGTGGCAGGTTACGGTGACCCTGGACCTCAGCATCACGTCCTCACCTGGCATCAGGGGAGGAGCAGTCTGGGAGATGGCACAGCAGTGGCAGAAGCCGGAGTTCCCTCTGATAAAGTTTGCTGTTGTCTTCTCAAAGCTGCTGCTTTAAGGGAATAAGGAGACTGGAGCTTGGGCCTTGTTGTAGGAGAGAAAATAATAACCACTGTAGTTGCAAAAAGTCAAAAGACATCATTTATTTCTGTGCACTGTAAAACACAAAAGGTAAAGAAATGGGAACCAGGAGCAGGGAGCTCCTCCCAAGACCTGATAAGGCTACATCCTTCCAGTAGTGAAGACAGGTTATATATAGTATTACTTGCAGAGAGTGCTAGTGGCCTGGTGTTAAGGAGTTGCACTACCAACCCAGAGTCTTGTGATTTGAGTCCACCAGCTGATCTTTGGGAGAAAGGTGGACGAGTCTCCCTCCTCCTGTGCAGTTTACTCCCTCTGAAAACCTACTGGAGGGTCAGCTACGAGTCAGTGTCCACTAGACAACACATAACAACAACAGCAAACAGTATTAAAGTTTCCTTCTCCTATCAAGAGTGCCAGAAGAGAGAGAGTCATTCATCTTGCTTACAGGTTTTCTTTGATTTGAGAGACTTTTGATATGGGCAACGAAATAGATAGTCACAGATACAGAATTGAGAGGTAAAGCAAGGGTGTGGCTTCAGGGAGTATTCCTGCGGTCTTGTGAATTAAATGGGTGAGTGACAGAAGACAGTGGCCTCCCCTCGGCCAGCTAGGTATGGGGCTCATTGTCCAAGTGTTTCTTTTTTCTGCAGTGAGTCTGCCTTTATCAGGTGTCAAACCAAATGTGAATAAGAAGGAAATTTTCTAGCTGTCTGGGTGGGTAAAACTCAGGAGCCAGACAGGGTTTTTTTTCCAAAGTCTGCAGGTTAACTTTTGAATTGGCAGTTGGGCTTTTTATGCCCACTCAGTATTCAGCAAAACAGCTGTTTCTGCCAGACTTAGCAGGCGATGGTTTCTTGAAATCAGCCTAGAACCTCTTAGGTGTCGTTAGGTGGGCCCTGGACTCATGGTAACCCCATATGTTACAGAGTAAAGCTGTCCCATAGGGGTTTCTTGGCTATAACCTTTTTGGATGTAGTTCACCAAGCCTTTCTTCCACAGAGCTACTGGGTGGGTTCAAACCACCCATCTTTAGATGAGCCTCCTAAACAAACCACTTACACCTCCCAGAAGAGAAGCCGTTCAAAAAGGTTTTCCTGACTTCCTCTCTTAATCTTGATGCAAGCCTGTTTTAGATGTTCCCAGTACATGCAAGCATGAGATTTGTCATGTCATATTTGCTCACAGAATAAACTGGTCCAAACAACAACTGTGGTATATACCCACATTAAATAATAGTAAAGAGTCACAAAACAATATAGTCTGGATGAACTTGGAGGACATTATATGAATCACTTAAACTCTAAAGGACAAATATTTTATGAATACATTGTTAGAAAAAAAGATAAAAGTTTACAACCAAAAAAATATTCCTTGACAGTTAGCAGAGATAGGGAGGAAAGAGAAGGGAAATCAGCAATTAGATGATAGATACACAATGCTTTTGTTGTTAGGTACCATTGAGTCAACTACACCTCATAGCTCCCCTGTCAACAACAGAGCAAAACTTCCCCCTCTCCTGCACTGTCCTTACGATCCCCACTATGCTCGAGCTGTATCAGGGTCTTCCTCTCTTTCTCTGACCCTCTTTCTTTTCCAGTTTCCCCTCTCAAGGACTGGCCCCCTCCTGGACAACATACCCAATGTATGTGAGACGAAGTTCTACCATCTGGCCTCTAAGGATATACTTACGGTTGTGCTTCCTCCAAGGGAGATTTGTTTGTTCTTTTGGTAATCCGTGAGATATTTCATATTCTTCTCCAACACCACAATTCAGAGGCATTAATTCTTCTGTCATCCTTATTCACTGTCCAGTTTTCAGATGCATAGGAAGCAATTGAAAATACTGTCTTAGATCAGGAGCACCTTAGTATCTAAACTGATATCCTTGCCCAATTCCCACTTTTTTTTATTTTATTTATTTTTGTGTGAGTGTACCGTCAAATCAGATCTGACTGGTACAGGAGGAAATTGTCCCTCCTTCCCCGGCAGAGCATCTGGTGGATTCGAACTGTGTGCCTCTGGGATTGTAGTTGCAGGTCCTTGCCACTAGGCCACCAGGGCTCCCCTCCATTCCCACTTTTATAAAGAGTACCTTGACAGAAGATTTTCCCAGAGCAACATGTCGTGATTTCTTGACTGGTGTTAATTGTGGATCCAAGTGAAATGAACTCTCAACAACTTCAATCTTATCTTCATCTTATCACCATGGTATCTGTTGGTCCAGTGGTGAGATTTTCGTTTTCTTGATGCTGTGATACAATCCCTATTGAGGGCTACAGTCTTTGATCTTCTGCAGCAGGTGTTTCAAGTCTTCTGCGCTTTCTGCAGGTTGCACTTTCAAGCAAGGTTGTGTCATCTGTGTAACACAGGTTGTTGGTAAGTCAGTCTTTCTTCAATCTGGATGTCACATTCTTTTTCAAATAGTCCAGCTTCTTGAATTACTTGCTCACTGTACAGACTGAGTAAGTGTGGAGAAATGATAACCACCCTAATGTATACCTTTCCTGGTTTTAAACCACACAGTGTTCCTTTGTTCTGTTTGGACAATTACACCTTGGTCTCTGTATACATTTGTCATGAACACAATTAATTGTTCTGGGATTCCCATTCTTCTCAGTGTTAGCTATAACCTGTTATCATCTACGTCGTGCAGGGCCTTTGAATAGTCAGTAAAACACAAACACTTTTTTATGCAATTCTCTGCTTTCATTAGGATCAGTCTGACATAATCAATGATACCACCAATTCCATGTCCCACTTCTGAATCCATCTTGAATTTCCACTATTGATGGACTATTCAGCCACTTTTAACTAATCTTCAACAAAAATTGACTTGTGTGTAATTTTAATGATATTGTTCAATTTCTGTACTGTTTTGGATCATCTTTTTTGGAATGGGGGCAAGTATGGATTTCTTCCAGTCAATTGGCCAAGTAGATATCTTCCCGTTTTCTTGGTATAGACTGATGAGCATGTCTAGGGCTGCGTCTGTTTGCTGAAACACCTCTCGTCAATTCATGGGACCTTACTTTTGCCAGTGCCTTCAAGTGAAGTGGCTTTCATTACCCATGGTTCTTGATCATGT